GAGGGCCTTGTAAGCAGTTCAGGTGCTTCCTAAGCACCTGACATCCACAGACACTTCCTAAGCCACTGAGGGCGACCTGGCCTCAGAGCCGGTGAGGAAAGGGAGGGTTCGCAGCACCTGCTGTGCCTCGGGGTTCATAGATGCTGCCGCGGAGTCCATCTGTGAGTCCCTACCCCATCACACCCTGAAACCAAGGCCCCTCCTGGAGCCATGTGGAGCCCCCGCAGCAGCCCCCGTGGCAGCCCCGTCCTATAAAAGACGAGTCTCCGAGCAGACACGCTCGGGCCCGGCTTGGCTGGACACCGTGGAGGCCGATCCAGGAAGGGTCTGTGAGCTGAGACCTCAGTTCTGAGACTTCTCTGCCTTCTAGGGACTTGATTATCTGTGCCCAGAGCAAAGCCACGGGCCTGGCTCTGAAAGGGAGGGGTGCACGGAGCAGAGCGAGCAGGCAAGGTGGACGCAGAGGCATTGTGGGGGGGAAGGGGCGGAGACGGCTGGAGCCAGCCTGCCCGCCTCCCACCCTCAGCTGCAGCGTCCAGAGCTACAGGTGTCCCCACGTGCACAGGCCCCCGCGCCCAGTGCCACATCCTCAGCACACGCCTCCTGGAGTCTGAGCCATCTCAGGCCTGGCACCGGAATTCTTCTTCTGAAAGCCTTGCTCAGTGCAAAGCAGTGAGGAGTCACATGGTCCACGTGCCCTGTCTCTGCTCCCTCTTCTCCGGAGACTCTGTGGGGCCCCGAGCACAGCAGAGCCGGGGCGAGGGTCTGGTCTCTTTCCCACGTGGCTTCTCTCTCTGTGTCCCTGCTGACATCGGCCCCATCCTGGAGCTCCGCCGACGGGTGAGCAGTGAGGGCCCTGAGGTGCTGGGCGAGGGAGATTCGGGGCACAGGGCGGGCAGTCGGCCAGAGAGAGGGACACACTCCTGGGGTCCCCGAACTCCCAGTACCTCTTTGTTGTCCCTGTTGGCCCACGGCCGGCTGTGAGTCCCATCCACACTGGGCTGGCTGCGCTGAGCCCGAGGTCCAGAGAGGAGGCGGGTCCAGGTTCAGGGCCCCCAAGGAGAGTGGAGGCGGCGGGGGCTGCTCCCCTGCAAGTGACGGCTAGTAGGGACACGGCCATGATGGGGTCGGCAGTGTGCCCTCTCATCCCCAGGCCGCGAGTCTCCTCCCCTGGGGCCTCCTGGCCACACCACACTGCACATGGCGCCTGTGAGCGAAGCTGGAGCTCCGCCACGGCGGGCAGTGCCCCCCACCAACGATCCAGACTTTCACCCTCAACGCTGAAGTGCCCAGCGTGGCTCATCCTGTTGGCGTGGCCACGTGCTCTGAGGGACCCCGGGACCAGGTGGGGTCAGGCCGCTTCCTGGGAGGCAAAACCCTCAGCTCCAAATGCACCCACGACATGGGCTTGGTGGGCACCTTCCTGCTGCCCTGGGCCCTGGTTGGCTTGGGCCTTGTCCTGGTGGGGTCTGCCACCACCCTCGTGTTCAGGGCTCAGGGTGGGGCCCAAGGAGCTGACCTCTGTCGACCTGATTCCACGGAAACAGCTCTGCCTGGGCAGGATGGTAGCCCCCCTCTGACGTTTGAGGCCCCGGCCACTAAAGGGCTTGTGCGAAGCCTTCCCAGGTCCTCACACTGTCTGGGGAGGTCACCGCCTGCCCTGCTCAAGCTGCGCAGACCGCTCGCAGCCCACCCCACTTTCCCACGCTCCCCTCTGCCTGGAATGGGGTAGAGGGGCGTGGCCCGGGAGGGAGGAGGCTGTGCGGGGCTGGCCAGTGCGGGTGGCAGGCTGTCCTGTCCTCCAGGGAGTGGTCCCGGGGCCACCAGCCCCACGTGGGAGAGGCCCCTCCCCAAGACCTAAGGCCGCTCATGGCCCCCCACCTTTCGCCCCACTGCTGACGCGCTGCAGGAAACCACTGAAAAGACCCACCAAGCATAACCTGTGGTTAATGCCACCTCCCTGAGGCCGCCCGGCCGCCTTCCTCTGTCACAGGGATGGGGAGAGGCGGACCTCCAAGCCCCCGCCCCACCCCCCAACCCCCACTAATCCCACAGCACCTGTGTAGCGGGGGCTGGGCTGCCTATCTCTGCCTGGCTCTGTCTCTCTCTGTCTCTATCTCTCTGCCTGTGTCTCTCAGTCTCTCTCTGTTCCCATCTACGGCCCAGGTCAGATGGTAAATGATGCTGTGAGCTGTCACAGCCACCACGTGGGCTCTGCCACCCAGGCCTCTCTTGTTGTCTAGATGTTGACATGAGTATTGTGGCCTCACTTTGACTTCCAGGACTTGGGGCCTATCTCCCCCGGAAGTCTCTGGAAGAACAATCCATGTCACCAACCAGCTGACCAACAACTATTTTAAGTGCTTGAAAGCTCCTTGCTGTCCAGTTTGTGCGTGCATGTGTGTGTGTGTGCACACACGTGTGCCCATGTGGACTAGTGCATATGTGTACCCACGTGCATGTATGTAGACAGTCGCGTGCATGTGAGTGCATGTGTGCACTGTGTGTGCATGTGGGCATGTATACTCATGTACGTGTGTGTGTGCATGGGGGTGTCCGGGGTGCCACCTGGGGCTTGCGGACGCAGTGCGTGTGTTTGGAAGCAGACATCAGCCCCGGGAGCAGTGGCCCTGAGGCAGCCTGCTGGGCCCGACCTGGCCTCGCGCACCGCCCTCTGTGTCTTCCACGGCCCTCCACGCGCTTCCCCGGGTGGGCTGGGACGTGTGTCAGAACGTCCTGGGATGCAGGGGCCCCAGCCGAAGCCCCTGAAGCTACTCTCTGGGGCCCGGATGCTGCATTCTGCCTGTAAATGCCTTGCCGAGGGGCTCTGTCCCCACGGTCGGCTCTCACAGGGTGGGGCGTCTGCTGCCGCCTTTCCTGCATGGCCAGAGAGAACGTGTGGCCCTTCGCGGGACCTCAGAGGCCTCTCCTGGGGGAAGGTGCGGGGACCACCACAGCCGAGTCCCGCGGAGGGAGGAACTCGCGGTGGCCGTTCCCTCTCAACACCCCCACGTGGGTCCTGTGTCATGGCAGGACCTCAGCCCCTTCCATCCGACCCACGTCCAAGCCCCTCGAAGCGCTGTGGCCCCCAGGGACCCTCACGGCGCACTCCCAGACAGCCAGGGTCCCGTTGAACGTGTGGCAGCCTTGGGAACCTTTTCTGGTGGACAGACCCTCCCTTCCTGCGACGCCCCCTTGCAGAGCAAGCCTCTTTCCCACACGACGGCTCTGCAGGTATTTGAATGAGGCCCGCGTCCTAGCCTGCCTCGTGCCAGGGTAAACATGTCCAACTCGCTCTAGTGTGTCTGGACAGGGACATGGCTGGTTTCTCACCCACAGGGGACACCGTTCT